GATCCAGGTATATAAGATTCTAACAGGTCTGGATGCTGTTCAGCCAAATGGCTATTTCAATATTAGTTTAAATACTAGAACTCGTGGCCATTAGTGGAAATTAGAGGGAGAACATTTTAAAATTGAATTTTAGAAAGCACTTCTTTACACAGCGTGTAGTTAGAGTATGGAATAGTCTTCCTGTTAGTGTAGCACAAGCTAAAACCCTGGGTTCCTTTAATCAGAGCTAGATAAGATTTTAACAACTCTGAGCTATTAGTTAAGTTCTCCCCAGACGAGCTTGATGGGCCGAATGGCCTCCTCTCGTTTGTAAATTTCTTATGTTCTTATGTTCTTTGTCTTAATTGAAGCATTTAGGTGATATTCATAGGTAACATTCAAAATATTGCAATCTATACAGACCATTGTTTGTCAGGAATTAACAGAAGCAAATTTCAGCATGTTAAACACAAGAAATCATGGTTTCGGCACTAATTTCATTGTTCTGATAGGAATTAAAAGTAACTCCTCTGAATAATTTTGTTGACTGCCGACTAGTGGTCTCTATCTGTAGGAACTAGTTAGCTAATGGAGGGTATATAGTAAGAGCACTAGACAAATAGTGCAACTTAATTGAGGTGTCATTGCTTCAACATGAGGCTTTTCTGGATTACACTGAACTATTCCAACTGAATGTAGGAATGTTAGCTTGGTACGAGTACAGGAGTACCTTCAAAACACGTGTTCACCTAAATACATTCTTGTGAGATGCTTCTGGCAAGTAATACTATTATCCCCGTGTCCATATATTAAAGTATATTCCTGTTAGTAATATTAGTGTCTGAAGTCTGTTCATTAAAAAAAAATATATTACATACTAACATCTCTCCCAACATATCTCTTCCTGGGAGGAGTTTCTACTGCCTAGTGATTTCCACCTCACAGTGAAATCTTCCTCCGCATCCAATACAGTGAGTTGCTGAGGTTGCAGTTTCTTCAGAATACAGCTAAAGGTGTGGGAGACTGAATTCAAAAGCTGACTGGCCATGTTAGAGTCACCTGACTGACTTGGGAATGGCAAAAAAAAGCAAAACAGAAAGCACTACAGAATTAGATCCACCAGGTTTTGTTTGGTATTGACTGAAAATCCTTGATTGAAGGTAATCTATTTCTTGGAAAGGAATTCACAGTCTAATTTTTGGTAGTGATAAAAAATGCCCTTAAACCCATAGTGATGGAAAATATCACATAATGTCAGGTACTTGTTTGTTTGACTTTTTCCCATTGGGGAAAAAAATCATTGAACATGGATTTCAAAGCCTTGATTCTCACTATACTAGTCTATTGTTTTGATGGCCTTCTGGATCAAAAATCAGTCAAATTTTAGCCAATTTAGAGATTAAATTGAAATGGTCTGGATAATACCTGCATCTACACTGCTGTTACAGTGCAATTCACATTTATGGCACTTTTCTACTGCCACCAAGAACCAAGCTGTAGTCAAGCCATACCTCAAAGAGACAATTTTCCATTGTAAATTATGCAAGCCGTACCCGAGCTTTACCCTTCCTAACATGGTGCTGCTTACTAGCAGGGCCGAAAGCGTAACTAAACCAAGTTGATTGCGTCACCATCATCTAATTGGTGCATATGATCTGCATCAATATGCATGCATTATCTGAAGGAAGAAAGGGTCTATTTTATATATTATACATTATTAGTAGTATTGTACATCGCAATATATTGATGCATTCCCAATAACTAAATTAATATTTCCAACCTCTTACTTAAAAAAAGTACTACAGAACAAATGAATGGAATGGATTTGTAATGCAAATTCACGCATGCTAGTGCTAATTTTGCTAGTATTTTATGCTAACATGAGACAGAGATTCCGACAGATGTGCTAGCAGAAATTAGCACATAATAAATTATGATGTATGTGAACATGTGAACAGTAAATAAGTGTGTATTTGGTTGTACATCATTGTCGTTCTCCAAACCCGGCAACGCCTTTATTGAGCCGACCCTTCTGCAGTGGAAAACAGAAGCAAACGGGAACTACATTGTAAATAGTGTCTCTTCACGGTACGGTATGGTATCTATATGCCAGTGGGAAAGTGCCATTAGACAGATCAGTTGATTTCAATCATGGTTTGGAGAACAGTTTAATCATGATGAACGGTGTACAATGAGACAGGACACACAGTTCCTGTAGCCACACCAGTCACTTTTAAGAGATGGGGAGCAGCCCAGTGTCTGGAGAATGGACCAATAGCTGTCTTTGTGTAAAAACATTGTTGACCATGGGAATAAGGAATGATGTCATGTACTGTAGGTTCTGTCTTCCAAATGAATTTAAAGAGGCTTCAAGGCCTTTTTAAAAATGCCCAATGTTGAACAGTCAAGCATGCACAGAAAAGCATGATAACCATATTAATCTAGATACTGGATACTGGAAATGAGCTAGAAAGCATATTGGTGCTCCTTTGGCTTTAGTGACAGAGCATCATGTATGATATTCCGCCATTTTATGCAGAAAAGCAGGTGATGTCACCCTTCACTCCTTCTAAGCTATCAGTGTATTGGGGATGCATCCCTGCTGATGCATAATTAATTCATCGATGTGGGTCTTACTGGCAATAATACATTAAACAATCCTATGAAAATTAATATTGCCTTAAAATCATACAATACACAGGTCCAGAAAATGAGCTGGTGGGACTGACAGCAGAACTGCTGATGTAGTCTCAACACAAGAGGAGCAGAAGTGGGTTGGTGATACTAACACTGCACACCAGCAGACACATGGATGACAGGTGATCCACACAGGAAGGGAACTGAAGCATTACCGACCCGATTGGTGCTTCGGAGGAGGGGGTGTGGATCTGGGAGCCTTGGTGGTTGTACGGGGCAGCAGGCCTGGCCGGATTGTAGGTGCAAAGTAGTCGCTCTGGCTGAGATCTGTTAGTGACTGCTGATTAGTTAGTGACATTGGTTGGTTTGTACATTTTGCTTAGGTAACTTGGCTGTAGGGCGTTTCAGTGCGGATGGGAGAGGATTATTGTGTGCGTGGACTTGCCGAAAATCCATCTTATGGCTAGACCCTAGAGCTTCATATGTATGTTTGGTCAGCAAGTGGCGCAGTCAAATTGCAATTGCCTCGATCTCAAAGGCAACACCTTGTGCAATATTATGCGGAGGAACTGTAGGGAAATTCAGAGCTGCAAACAGCTGATCAGAGCATGACCTGCGGAACGTGGTGGGCCACCGGAACCTCTGTCCAGGTAACCTCTGGAGAATCGATAAGAATGCAGTGACAAACAAGTTATCTCCCCTCCCACTCAGATATGTTCTGCGGTGTGGTCCAAGGATCAAGGCTATGGAGTTAGTTGGGGTCTGATGTTGTACCTGAATGACCATCCAGAATAAGCATAGCAAATGGGCCTTCTCAAAGGCAGTCTTGAAACATATGCAGATTAGCTTGCTCTCTCTAAAAGCAAGGTTATCCTTGGGCATTCTTTCCATCTGGCCATCTGGGGACCTTGTTAATTGTTCTTACCTGGGTTCTGTTTTGGTTTGGCTGGGGCTTTAGTTGTTGTGGTGAGCTTTTCTGGCGGTTTAACTGTTAATAAATCCAAATCTATAAAGAAATAGCATGGCATCACTGAGTTTTTGCAATCATACATAAACAAGGGTAACTGAATCTCTTTAATTAATGTAATTTACCTTTTCCACCTCCTGCTGGTGGCTTGGGTTTGGGAGCTGCTAAAACAAAAGAAAAATGATAATTTGGTTTAAGTGCAAAAACCTGCATTGTTTAGTTTCTTAGGGGAAACTGCGCAGGGTGCATTAGTCAGTGTCTCACATACGTGCTTTCGTGGTAACGTCAAGGGCATCCTCCAGACTCAGGTCCTGGCTCAAGGCTGCAGTGAGAGAACAAGGACAGTTGATTAGATTGTCACCCAGTAAGGGAAAGAAGTAGGGATTTTAGGACTATGCTTTCATTCATATCTTGCCTCATCACTCTTTCTCTTCTCCATTTCCTGTCTGCCCCAGAGAGTGTTTCTGGGGCAGGGACCAATTCACAGAGCCAGTATGTCTATGTTACCGTAAAACCCCCAGATATAATCACCGTAGTTAGGATTCTCACTTAATCCCCTTGGCTCTACTATATGTAGGCTATCTCCAGCATTAATAATGCTGCTAGGAAACATGAGGTGCTCCACTAGAGACACAGCAGCCTCAAAACATCTTGTCATGTGACTTTCTTTCTTTCATCATCGTGCTCTGTTCAACTGGACCATTAGGAGTTAAATGACAGACAGCCATTTCTTGAATCAGGTGATATCTTCGCTTTGTGAAGCAAATCAGCATCCCATTGTGTTATAATCATGTTGCAAAACCAGATCATGCATTATATGCATGAGTATATTATTATATGTCAACTCAGTATTGAAGCAGTTTATGTTGACAGGCATTTTTATTTTTGCTGTAGGACTCTAAATATTTACAATCCATTTGATTCTCAGCAACATGACAGGATATGCAATTGGATAATACATAGATGGATTCTCAGCATAATTTTCATGCAGATTTACTAAATAAAATGTAAAAAAATCTGTATATTTTACTATATCTCGTTATATATCACTGCATAACTAAATAAAATGTGCCTTATTAAATCACAAGTGATGTCACCGCAGTTACTGCAAAAAAGGCATATATATTGTGATCTGTCTTCTGCAGCTCTAGGTGGGTGTGTCTTGTAGACATGTGGGTGTGTCATGTGGACCTAGTTACTGGTTCTCCTTTGAAGAATATTTCATTGCTACTGAAACATTAATGTTGCTCATATCTGAGCTTTGTGTTCAGAGACACCCACTGCCTGACATAGCCATTTGGTAAATTTTTTGTCTTTTGGAAAATTTACCTACAACCAGTATGCTTTCGGTCAGGTCATTATGACTGTAACACACAACAAATCCATAGCTATTACGGCCCACAGCTGTACTGATCAGCAAAAGGTCTGATGAACTGTAGCAGTCTGCTTTAACTTTGTTACATATGATTTCCACGTTGTGTTTGGGAGTGACTGGAATTCCCATAATTATAACTGATATTACTGCGATTAGAAATATTTTAGACAAAATGAAATCCCTCTGTAGCGTTGTAACTCGAATAATGCTGTGTCAGAGTTCAGAAGAGGTAAATGGCCATTTTTAAAAATTAATGTCGAAAACTATGTATTGAAAACCAATGAACGCACGGGGCGAGTACCCAAGTAATCTGCACCTTGCGTCTACCACTATAAAGTGGATGAACTAATTACAATGCACATATCCTTTTTTAAACGTACCACCCTTTGTCAGACCAAATATAATACTGCTATCCATGTTTTCAATCAGCTGATATTGGCCGTTGGAAGACGTCCATTGAACTAACCTGAGATATCTTAGAATATATTTTTCATCGTATGTATAGGCTACACTACCGGCATCACTGTCAATACCGCATTATGCCAAACCGACTGAGCTTGCAGGTTTCCAAAACAAAAAAAAGAAGATTTATGTTAATACGTTGTCATTTCAGTTTGCTAAAGCGAATTCCTATTTTTTTCCATAACGAAAATTCCTACCTCTCAAAGCCAGAAGAGAAAACAGCCCAAGGAGAGGCCACGCTGAAAATTTGCCCATTGTTGACAGTCTGAACCCGACATAAACCTCCGATTTAACGGAAAAAAACAACACAGTCTGTCTGTGTTATTATGCTAATACTCTTTCCTGTAAACAGCTAAATCTGTACTAAATCAAGAAGGCGGTGCGTATGTACACCCAATAACTACGGGGAACAGTGCGAAGAAATCGACCCGCAACGCAAGACAGACACCGCTACAACGGTTTCCCTTCAGAGCGACTTGGGCGTGTCCGTCTCGGCGAGCATTTACTCAGTCCTGCGACTGCGGAGTCTTTGTGTTCGCGTCTATGCAGGACGAAACGTGACATAATTATAAATAAGTAATCTACAGAAAATTAATTAATTAATTTTTTCATTCCAGATATTTATAGAAAATAAATGTATTTAATTTTCTATTGCAAATATTTATAGAAATATATATTTAATTTCTGATTCCAAAGATTTATTTTTACTTGTTGTTTATTCCAAATATATATATTTAATTTATTCCAATGATTTTTTTATTGCTTTTTTATTCCAAAGATTTTTTGTGCATCTGTATGTAAATGAGTTGGGCAACGCTAACTCTTCTTGTAAAGCACTATATATATTGGCCAGGGAGACTGTGCTGATCTGCGCTCCATTACCTTGGCCTTGCTTGGTTGAGAAGAAATGCTAGCTGGCGTTCATGTTGGTAATTCTAAGTTCATACTACACGACTTTCCAAGTCGTCAGACCGCTATACCGTTCATATGTATGGGGTTCCATTTGTGCCAAAAATATATGAGTAGCTCACTGTCCGTGGCAGCTGAACATGCAACACAACATTTGTCTGTATCTATTCAACTTTGAGCTGTACTTCAGCTGTGACAAATCTGTTTTGACAATGAGATTGTATGTGTTGATTGCGCACCTGACAAAACAGTTAAACTTTAAAGTGTACTTCTGTCATCTTAATAATCATTATCATTTGACTTGTATTGCATGTCGACCAAATTTCTCAACACGTCGTCATGAAGAGTCGTTATCCTCGTCGTTTGACTGCATCATTATGCATGTCGTTCGGATGTGATGCTTGTCTGTGTTGCTCCTGCTTTATTATTCTCCTTGTCCCTAACATCCAAAGTAGGCTGATTCAAGTTTATTTGTATAGCACGTTTTCATACACAACATGTGTAGGCAGTGCAGGTAAATTACGTGACTATCTAGGACTAGCAAAAGGAATCCTAACTTGATTTTGACAGAAGTAGCCTTTGCGAGTTGTTGAATAGGCCTACCTATGAAAAAACAAAAGCGTATTGGAGAAAGATTGGTGTATTTGAGAATCTTATAAGAAGACGATATGCAGATCAACACAAACAACAAGGACAATGATACAGCAGGACTAGAAGCAAAGCAACACAGACAAATGACACATCAAGACAACATTCATAACAACACAGTCAGATGACACATTAAGACAATATATATAATCACGCAGTCAAATGACGCGGAGGAGGACACATGCTCCAAGACTAAAAAGTACAGTTTAAGGTTGAACTGACAGACAATGGTACATGTTCAGTCGAAATATAAAGTGCACATATAGACATATTTCTGGCACAAATTGAACCCCATACCCAATACATATGGAGCACAATGGTATCACCATCTGACAACTTCGGGAGTTGTGTAATGTGAACTTAACAATAGCCAGCTAACACCTCATTTACATACAAATTAATTTTAAAAAAAATAGTTGGAATGAACAATTAAATTAATTATTTTTTCTATAAATTTCATCACCATCCAAACCAGACTGCTTTATTAAAGGTTCCAGGGAATATATGTCCAAATTATGTCCAAGTCATAAACTCGCCTTAAACCTTACAACTGTAACTTTTTTTATGAATAGTGGTTGTATACACACTGTGTTTTATTATAAGAGTGCATGTCGCTGTCCTTGGTACCAAGATCAAACTGCATATGAGTCGGCCTGACAGTGATGAAACAATCAGACACATTTCATTATAATACTGCTCGCAGAGACTTGGGCAATTTTTTTAGTGAGGGACAGTCGCTTCCGTTCTACCATAAATACACAAACGTCTCTTGCCACATTTTGACAAAGGAAGCAATAGGAGGAATTGAAAAATATTGTGTTCGTTTATTAAAAAATGAAAAACATTGTTTTTTCAGCATTTAATGTATTTACACTGTAATCTCATTTATTGAAAATAGTATACAAATGAAAGAGTTTGGAAAAAAGTGAAGACTGAATTGTAATTAGGCTGCTACTAATGAAGACTAGAAAATAAGCAAATAAGGATACAGAATGGATGTTTGCGTTCAAAATGCATTTTATTTCATTGGCATCTGTTTAATACAGAAGCATAGGCCTATATCTTACTGATATTTGTGGATGGCGTTACGTCATGTGCTTAAAAAAGATCACTTTTAGGCCTCATCAAAGGTTACGGGTTTGATGGTTCAGTTTTTCTGAACTGAGAAGAGATCAGTTGGAGACCTGGCTAAGGACATTATACTATACAGGAATAGGACAATTATAATAATCAAAAATTCAATTTAAACAAAATTTCTAAAGCCATTAAGTCTATACATAATTCTAAAATAGAGTTGTTATGTGCATTGCTGGTGTGGCTCCCCGGGCGAGCATCAACGACGGTGCCCCCAGTCCAAGGCAACGTGAAATTGGCTGGCAAGTTGGTGTCCCCCTCAGAAGTTTTGTGCCCTAGGTGGTCACCTGTGCCGCCCATAGGATTGACTGGCCCTGTGTCTGTGTGAATTTCACGTAGAGGTAGAGTTCTGTCATAAAGCAAAGAAACCTTCATTTTTATGTGATTTATGTGATTTTTATGTCAGTAACATTTTGCATTCCAGAATTTGAAACTGGGATCTTGTTTTAGCATGGGCATAACTTTGGTTTGAACACTGTAGGGGTTCAGGTCTCCATCCATTTTGGGGGGGGGGGACATGATTACAACCCCCCCCCACCCCCACCCCCATCCATGTGTTGTAGGATTCTGGTATGGATATAAGATAAACATTAATTGGCATTAGTCTTGAGGTGGGTATAGACCTTCCCTCATGATTTAGATATATTTACTGTAGGCCTATAGGGTGACAACATATTTTATAACATAATCTTTATATTTAGTACAGTGTTACCGTGAGCTTAGAGAATCAAGTTTTGATATGAGGTATACAATCATTTGTCAAATAAAGCATCTGGATCAGTCAGATTGGTCAAGTTTAAGTTCTTGATTTCATATCTGAGAATATGGCTTTATGGTTTGTATTTTTTTATTTAGGTTTCAGTTGGATGCATCTAATGCAAAAATCCATCAGCGTGCCGTATGCCAGTGGCATGTTTTTATATTTTTCCTAAATTAAACTGATGAAATTACAGAACGTATTTTACACACATGCCCTATAGTTAGTCAGAAATTGTAAAAGTTGGTCTTTTTCTTTTTGACTAAAGGAATGTTTACATATTCTTACATACAGGGACACCTAGGGTTATCTTGCTGAAATGCAGTCTGTGTGATTATATAGGACAGAATTGGTGCCCATTTTGATAGATACAAACATGTACAGCTTTCAAAGATTCTCTGTTCTCCTCAGTATACACACAGTATACACACATTCACCTTTTTTGACTTATTCAAATATTTTTTAAATCTATCATACCAGAGTCAGCGATGGGATGACACTGCATCCTGGGTTGTTCCCTACCTTGTGCCCGTGGTCTCTGGGATTGGTTCCAGACCCCCATGGCCCTGAACAATATAAGTGGTTACAGATAATGGATGGATGGATGTACCAGGCAATGTCTTTCAGCTCATGTTGTTGTGTCACTCATCCTTGTATGGTGTAACTATCATAATCTTGCTAAGAGCTATTTCTGAAAAGGATCTTGCAATATAATAATTTTCTGAACTGTACTTTTCGTTTTAAACTTTACAATAACAGGGGACTTGTATAGGGTGTGGCACCATAATTTGTATTGAACAAAAAACTAGAAAAACCCACACATTATCTCATACCCATGTGGCGCCCAAGGTTAGCTCACCTGCCGGCGCCCCCAGTCCGAGACAAAATGAAATTGACTGGCTAAGTAGGCGCCCCCACAGAAGATGGCGCCCTAGGTGGCCATCGGTGTTGCCTAATTGGTTTTTTTTTTGGCTCTGCAGTCATTCATAATGCATTATTCTAAGCACACATATGTCTGATCGTCGACTTGTCCATACTCGGACAAACGAAATGTGTCCATGGTGAGACTATTACGTGTCTGTGGTGAAGAAAAACTATATGTAGGCTACGTTTTTAATACCGTGGCTGTAGTGGAATAGCACATTTTGATCACAATGCCCGTCAAAATTTGCCATGATGTTGACCCTTGTCTGCCGATTAATTTTATTTAGCAGACGACTTGTCGTCTGAGTGGGATCCGGGCTGAGTGACAGCGGCAGTGAAGTGTTTTATTAATGCCTTCCCTCCTATATGATGTATAACTGTCAACACGCCAGAACTCTACACGTGAGTGCTCGTGGGTCTTTAAACTTTTGTTTATATCGTAGCAAGAAGAACTTAGACGATTCTTTTGAAACGGGAGGGGGGGAGACACTGCCCACGCCCTTGACCAATTGTTACTGAGATCTTATGAATATGTAAGTTTAAAAGGCCAATCGCAACTTGTGGAGGTTGTTTCAAACCAGTGAGGCCGCTAGCCAATCAGGCCGTTCTCGCATTGAGCTAGCGCGAGGCTGAGTACGCGGCTTTTAAAGAGGAGAGAAACCAGATCGAGGGACTGCATATTGGCATCAGTACAGGTAGGCGCTACGGTACTGGTATTTGATTTTAATTATTGTCTGAGGGGAAAATGTATGCCCTAAGAATGTTACATGCGTAACTGTGCGTTATGATATTTTATGTTTTTATGTGGAATCAATGAAATTTATTTTAATTTCAAAAGACTTAAATATGTGGAAAAATATTGTGCCCCTATATGCTTATTTTTTTTCTTTAGTATTGTGGAATAAATTTAAATACCTTAATAGTCAATTTAATATGGCTAAAATGTATACAAATTATTTTTTGTTGGTGCCGATGTATGACATTAATTTTTAAATTCTCATTATTTCCTCTGTACAATATTATTCAGTGTACAGGGAAAAAGTTATTAAACTGTAATTTGGGGCTTGTATTTCTTACACGCATCGCTGCTGTGTGTAACAGAATATGGCTGGCTATGGTCACGGTATGAGCACGATAGTCATTTAATAGTTACTGTTATCGGTGACATCTTCAGTACTTATATGTTCTGGGAATTCATTCTCTTTACGTGAAAAATTTCCGTCTGAGGAAGATATCTTTAATTGTCATTGAAGACTGAAATCTTTCTTCATTATAGTCAAATGGTTGCTAGCACTATATTAAAATGGCTGGTGATTTAAACCATTGACAAGGAGCTGTTCAAACGCGCATTCCGGGTCTTCTTTAAAGAAAAAAACAAGTTTTTTCTAATTTGACTAAAGATGTAATTTTATGAGAGAGGATTTTTTCACATTTATATACGACAGATGGTGAATTCCTGCGTTTTCTCTTTACTTGCAACTTATTCATTTTATCGGAAATGATTTTGTATTAGAAATGGCTGGCGCGTTGCCTTTGTTACAGACGGCAATGCACCAAGCGACAGTCCGAGGTATAACTTTGAAAAAACAGTTAAATAGTCTTAGTGTTTTTTGACATCGAGATAAATATTTTCTTAATTTAAAGGACTCTTTCCATTTTAACTTACCGTCGTTTTTTATGTCAGTGTGTGGAAAATATTTGCTTAAACAGTCTTTGTAATCCGAAGGGGGTGTGTATCGCTTTGTTACTTAGCTAGCTAAGCCTTCCCCTCGCAGGCTTTACAGAAGCCATTTTAATGAATGGGAGCCGCTGCAGACAGCCACCCTTCCTCGCGCTGCACACTATGTACCGTTACTATAGTCATACGGGGAAGCAAAGCTAACTTGGCGGAGTGGATATTTTAGACCAAAAACTTTTTGTTTTGAAAAAATAAGGATAAGGTGTGAAAAAATGTTAAAAATAACGGTATGTTTCTTTCATGAGAAGGCATTTCACAAAATGGAAGATGAATGATTCGTGTTGATGACCTTTCAATTTTTTTATTGGGAGGATACGACTACCGTGCGATCTCTCTGTTCCAGCCGACTAGTACCGTATTAGCGGAGCTGCGCTGTGAAAATAGCCCGGCAAGCGGTTTGTAATAAAGAATAAATAAAAAGCTAATAAATCTTGGGCGGGGGCGATAAGGAAATATGGCGGGGGTACCTAATAAATTAACCTCTTAATGTGCTTTTATGTGAGGAAACGTGTTAAAATTTGATCGAATTTTTTTTTGAAAACGTATCTCAAGTTAGGCCTATAATTTTTGTTATGTACCGATTGTACAAGTGTTCCTTACCAATTTTTTAAATTTAACATATATTTATTTTTTGCAAGCAGTCAATCTATTTAAAACCTTCTTGATGCACGAATTATTAGTAACTCATTTCCCAGCATAAACTGATAAGAGAAAATAAACGCAAAGCAACTAAATATGAAAAAGTAGTGCTTGTGCAAAATTTGCATAATTCATTTGAAGCAATGATTCCAGGGCTTATTTCCTATTTTCAGACTGGAATGAAAGCTGAATTTACAAATGAGAATAGATACTTCTTTTAATTACATTGACAAGAAATCTTTGCTTACATTTTTGCTATAATGAAACATTCCTATTCAAGGACTGCCCCGTTCTTGTACAGGGTTGTTGCAGATAGAATTTTACCATTTATTATTTGTTTTGTCTGTGTGGTTTGTTTTTATAGAGCTGCAGTGAATACAAAAGGAACAAGGTCCCAAAGCATCGAAAATGGCCAAAGGTGACCCAAAGAAGCCCAAGGGCAAGATGTCTGCTTATGCCTACTTTGTCCAGACCTGCCGCGAAGAGCACAAGAAGAAAAGCCCGGAAATCCCGGTCAACTTTGCAGAGTTCTCCAAGAAGTGCTCTGGCAGGTGGAAGGTGAGAGTTGGCTCGTTGTTCATCTTGAATTTTCCTCATTTGGGTATCTAGCCGGCTTGTTTATCCAGACTGGCATTACTATTATTCATTAAATTGGTTGCCTGAATGTTTAGCTTACCTGTATAAATACCTACATAATCACTGATATGATTTAGGTTAAGTACCTTACAGAAATGTACACCTGCAGGATTCTTCTGTTTATGAACTGGTGGCAATTTGTCCACTAAATAGATGTACCTTCTAATTGTAATTTGTATGTATTTTCAATAAAAATGTACATTCACCCCGATGTTATATACTCCAGACCATGTCTGAGAAAGAGAAGTCCAAATTTGAGGATATGGCCAAGCAAGACAAGATACGTTATGACCAAGAGATGATGACCTACATGCCTGGAAAGAAGGGCAAGAAGAAAGACCCCAATGCCCCAAAAAGACCACCGTACGTCGTGCACATCTAGAATCTATGACTGTCAAATGGCAACACATGAGCTTCCTGAAATAGTATCGAAAATGAAAGTGTTGGGCAGGGAAATACAATTAACTTGCTTTTGTGTTTTGCATAGATCCGGCTTCTTCCTGTTCTGCTCTGAGCACCGGCCCAAAATCAAGGCCCAGAACCCCAGTTTGGGCATAGGGGATGTGGCCAAGCGGCTGGGGGAGATGTGGAACAATCTGACCGATGCCACTAAGCAGCCATATCTCATAAAGGCCAACAAGCTTAAAGACAAATACAAACAGGTGCATTCCACTGCCACTGGTCTTGTACTTACTGTAAAAATAATTTCCCCGCAAAGGGATGTCCTGGTATGGTAGTCTTAATGCTCTTTCACTTAGGTTATATAATCAATGCACGTAATCATTTAAATCTGTCACCCTGACCAGGATAAGCCCTAGAACACTTTCTAATCACCTATCTTGATCAGAGTCATAGAGCAGTGTGGAGTCTATTCTTGGCAGAATAGGGAACAAGACAGGGATACATCCTGGATGGGATACCAGTCCATCATCACACATGCACAGTCATACACTATGGGCAATTTAGAAACGTTCATTAGGCTACCTGCATATCTTTGGACTGTAGGAGGAAATCAGGGGCATGGAGGGAACACGCAAACTTCACACATATGCACAGGGGCACTGATGCTTCGACATAAAATCAATATTCTTGTTCTCATAAGTTTGTCAATAGTTTCACATTTCGGCTTGTCCTTGATATCGTCTGTGTCTGTATGAAGCTCCACAAGTTTACTGGTTGCATTTTAGAGTTGTCTAAAGAATTGGATTTAGTCCCCAGAGAGCCACTGAAGTGACTGAGAGGTATTTACATTCTTCCTTCCATTCATCTTTTCCCTCAGGAGATTTGTTCTTCAATATTTTTATCAAAACAGGGCCATTGCGTAACCACCTCTACCAACTGCTTTTCAGAATGCACAGAAATGCACAGAAAGCTATTTCATGCTTAACATTATTCTTGTAGTTTATCTAGAATACATCTACAGTAAACCCATCATTCATCCAGGTGGGGAGTCTCAGTCAGGGGTATCTTTGGCCAGCAGGGGGCATGACTCTGGTGTTGAGTGTTACCTGTTTAGGAGTTGGCTGTCTTTGGTACAGGATCACAATGCAGCTGCAGAGTCTTAGTGCTACTCTTCATTTTCTCCGACAGGATGTGGCTGATTATAAATCTAAGGGCAAAGTGGTCGGTATGGGAGGACTCCCTAAGCCAGTGATGAAGAAGTCTATGGAGGATGAGGAAGACGAGGAGGATGAGGAAGACGAGGAGGAGGAGGAAGAAGAGGAGGAAGAGGAGGACGATGATGAATAAGCTTGTTTATAAACATCGCTGTTGTTTTTGGTTAAATTGTAGTAGGGTGAGGAAAACTCCAGCAGTGCAGATGTATATCCCTGTTCTTCCTCTTCCTGTCAATTCCACATGGTCCCTGTGTGCTGTGGTCTAAGGATGAAACAGTGACACCACAGCGTGGGATGATCCTCTTCATCTCCCCACCCTCCTCTTTGTGTATGTACGTTTGTGTGC